ACTACACTAAAGCAGGATGTGGTAACACACACCTATCACACCAGTACTTGGAAGATAGCAGGAAGACAGAGTTCAAGGCCAGCCTGGGCTGTATAGCTTGATAATGTCTTCAAACACCAAAAAAAAGTGGTGTGCACTAACTAGTCAAACCATTTAACTTCTCCTGGGAGAAATATTGAGAATGGAAGGTTTATGTAATCTGTAAAAGCATATAAAACTGACTATGTGAAAAAGAGCTGAGTATGGTGGTAATGCCACCTCTTGGGAGATCTCAAGTTCAAGTCCCACCTGGGGCAAATTAGTAAGATCCTATCTCAAAATACAAAATTAAAAGGGCTAGGGGTGTAATTCAGTGCAAAGGGCTTCGGTTCAAGCCCCACAGTGCAAGAAAAGAAAGAAAATTATCTCTGGGTCTTTGTAGCTAGACTGGAAAACAGCTAGGGAATTATACTTTATACAAAAGAATAAGACAGTTAAAGCTCACACTATTTTTGTCCTTTTGTCTTTAATATGTATTTAAATAGTTGTATTTATAACCTGATTTTTTGTTTGTTACTATAAACACATGTAGGTATAAACACTATGTATGATTTTACTTTTAATATATATTTTTAGTAAATGAATTTATTACATTTAGACATTGAAAACTTTTCTAAAATAGTACAGAATGTTGTGTTGCTTCTTTTGATGTACTTTTTTTCCCCTGAAGTTACCTAATATCTGTTTTATAGGTTGGGCATAAATTCTCTTGTTATTAAGCAGTTTAGATTGTTAAAACAGTGACTTATCGCTTTAATTACCTATTGCTAATACATGACCACTACATTGTGCTTTGTGTGATGTGTATATAAATATTATGTTTTTTCACAAAAATCTGTGAGTATATTTTAAATTGTGGTCTTATCAGAAATTTGCATTAAAGGGACTATACAAAAGAAAATGACAATTGCACTATTGTGTCCATTATGTTAGGCACATCCTGTTTTAAATGAGTTTGAAGATATGCTAATAACACAAATGAGCTTTTGTACTTTTATATAATTTCAGTTGAGTGTATAGATTTCTATTATGAACTTCTCTAAACAGAAGCATTTATGCAGATAATTATATTTTTATTTATGAATACTGTACATAGAAATTGAAAGTTTCATTACTGAGAACATTTATTTTTCTAAGAAATAAACAAATGTGATGTATTTATTCAGTTTTTCATTTTAAGTTTCAAGTAGTTTAATACGTTTTCCTATGCAGTGTGTATCAGTAATATATCTCAAGATGTTAGGATAAATGCAATTACCTACTTTTGTATGAGCCTATTAAAGAAAACTCACCAATAAATGGAGTTCTATGATACCATTAAATCCACTATCTGCAATCTTAATTTTCAGATTAAGTACTTAGAAGCTATATGGAAAAGAATCGTGAAAGAAATGAATTGGACAAGACCTCAGACATACCTCATTTAATCACTTCATATTCAAGGAGTAATTTCAGAGCCACAAATTTCAGTAGTTCATTTTATTTTATTCATTTATTTTTTTAATATTTCACTTTTGGTCTTTATTCTTCCAAACCCTTAAGTGATTTGCCTTTTTTTAATCATATATTTATGCTTTTTTTTCCCATAATTTTATTGATAAACAAATAGCAGTGAGACAGTTTCAAATCAAATTGGTAGGATAGTTTCAATAATTAACACACTGCATACATTCTTCCTAGTGTTTAATTGCTGTACAAGATGTGGACATGATATCCTATTTACAAACACCATTAGAACAAATCACTCTTCATTAAGAGAATGTAACT